GAGAGTGCAGTGGGGGCTGGGATAGGCCGGGCCCTGCCTGAGAGTGCAGTGGGGGCTGGGATAGGCCGGGCCCTGCCTGAGAGTGCAGTGGGGGCTGGGATAGGCCGGGCAGGGCCCTGCCTGAGAGTGCAGTGGGGGCTGGGCCGGGTAGGGCCCTGCCTGAGAGTGCAGTGGGGGCTGGGCCGGGTAGGGCCCTGCCTGAGAGTGCAGTGGGGGCTGGGCCGGGCAGCTTCCGTGGCAGGGAAGAGACCCACGCTGTTGAAGAGGCAGCAGGGGGCTGTGGGGCCTAGGAGGACCTGCTCCACGCTCACTCCAAGAGACTGGTGTTCAACAGCCCGTCTTCACCATTACCAGAAGAGCACGCGTTCTGTGCCAACTACGGGCCCGCCCGGAGCAGCAGCAGCGAGGGGCTGGCCAGGGCCCAGGGGGTGAGCAGCGAGGCGTCTCTGGAGAGCAATGAGGTGAAGGCTCTCTCTCTGTCGATTTCCTAGCTCCCGTCCGGGTGTCGGGGGAAGGCTAGCAGCTGCACAAGCAGGGGTGGCAACAAGTGTCATGGCTCCAGGGCCTGGGCTCGCACAGCACTGCGAAGTCGGGTGGCATAGACGCAGTGACAGCCACTGAGGACACAACTCTGTGTGGCAGCAGGGAGAGGTTTCATGACAGGTTTCAGATCCGCCCTGTCCCATGAGGGACATGGCACAGATGACAATGTAGAGGCTAGTCGTGGGCAGAGGGCAAAGTCTGGGCATCGCCCTGCTGTGTGTCCTCCAACGTACGTCTGTCATCCCAGGATTCAGATCATGCACGAAGCAGCTCTGTTCGCAAGCAAACGAAAAGCTACGTGAAGACCAAGAGCCGCTACTGCACCGGCGACAGCCAGCCGTCCCCCAGCACGGGCGTGGCCAGGGCCGCAGCCTGCTCCTCGGGGCCCAGCCCCCAAACCCAGAGGCCTCCCTACTCAGGACCGCAGGTAAGGATGAAAGTGTGTCCTTGGCAGCTGTGCAGCGTGTTTTGTGGACTTCTTATGGGCATCTGTGCTTGACTGAATATCTGTCCAGCCATTAGCTGCCCACTAAGCCAACTGTGGAGAGACTTCACAGAATTATCTCAGAAATCATACACTCTGCAGACAAACACCAACCACAGCAGCTTCCGTGGGACATCAGCTTGCCAGCCGCCAGCCACGCCATGTTATTTAAATGCCCGGTTTTCAAAACCATGTGCAAGACGTGCAGAGAAACCAAGTCTGGCTTAGTCACCGACAAAAGCCAGCAGCAGAAGCTGTCGCTGAGAAGTCCAGGGCTGACGGGGCTAATCAGATGCAGACCTTCAGTCAGCGGCCACACGTGTCCAGAGGGCTCCAGGGGACTGTGGGAGTGGGGCTCACCAAGCAGAGAACACCAGCCAAGAAGAGTGAGAGTCCACAGGTGACGAGGACAAGGATTAATATGGGTAATTCACCAGACGGGCTCAAAGCAGGTCTGAGCAGGAAGAAGGGAGACCAGGGAGAGGGGGCACAGAGATCGGAGCCATAGCATCAGGCCCGTAAACCACAGTGGGGTCCAGAGGGGAGGCAAAGGGCCAGCAGAGCTGCCTGACAAACACCTGAAGACTCCCCACTCCCCAGCCGGACGGAGGGTCTGAGCCTGCACGGCCAAGAAACTGGACAAACTGCAGAGGAGAGACTCGGAGAGGGCCACGCCTCCACAGCATGGACTGTTGAAAGAGCCACAATCTTAAAAGGAACAAGAGAGATGACTGGTTACTTACGAGAGACTGTTTCTCATCAGAAACCACCTAAGAACCTCCCTTAGTCCCTGCCTCCCCTCTGCCTGCAGCCACAGGGACACGTCACTTTTCCTGGTGCTGCACGTGGGGCACCAGCAGGCCCAGAGGAGGGCGCCCTGGGAGGGGCAGGTGGCGGCAGCAGCGTGGCTCTGTGCTCTGCGTCTGAGCTGTGGGGGTCCCTCTGCCCTGCAGGACCTTGCTTCCCTGCTGGAGCAAATCGGATGTCTGAAGTACCTGCAGGTGTTTGAGGAGCAGGACGTCGACCTGCGTGTCTTCCTGACCCTCACCGAGAGCGACCTGAAGGAGGTCGGCATCACGTGAGTGCTGGGCCGGCTTGGCCACGCTGGGCTGAGAGGCCCTTAGGTCGGCTCCAAGGCCCCGACTGTGGAGGGCCCTCAGACTTCCACTGCCAGCCAACGTGCGGGGGCTTCCAGACTTGGCCAAGGCAGCCCTTGTCCACACGCTGAGCAGGCCGGCAGGGAGTCTGTGAAGGCAGCAGTCTGGCCCCGGGCTAGGGTCGTGACAGGAGGACGTGTGGTCTCCGTGCAGACGCTGACCGCTGCCCCCTCTCCTCACTGCAGGTTGTTCGGGCCCAAGAGGAAGATGACCTCTGCCATAGCCCGCTGGCACAGCAGCGCCCGCCCCCCCGGGGACGCCCTGGAGCTGGCCTACGCCGACCGGCTGGAGGCGGAGATGCAGGAGCTGGCCATCCAGCTGCACAAGGTGAGCGGGGCCAGCGGGAGGCGCACGGCGACGACGGCCTCGTCGGCCGGTGTGGAGTGGGCGGGGCCGGCAGAGGAGCAGCGTGGGGCAGGAAGCACCGGGGCAGGTACAGGACAGGCCGCTCGCAGGGGTCGGGAGCCCAGCGGGAACACAGGAGACGGTGCGGGGGAGCCCCTAGAGAGGGAGCCAAGCAGAGGGAGCCGGTGCGTCTGAGCCAGAGCGACAGCCTCGGGGCCGCGGGCCAGCCGCCCCCAGCCACAGCCTTTGCCGCAGCGCTGCGAGGAGGTGGAGGCCATGCGGGGCCAGGTGTCGCAGGAGCAGGAGCTGCGTGCCGTGGTGGAAAGCTGCCTCCTGGAGCAGGACAGTGCCCGCCAGGCTGCGCACGCCCAGCTGCAGGAGACCCGGGCCCTTGCCCACACTGCCACCCTCGCCATGGACCGGCTGCGGTGAGTGGAGCCTTGCACGACGGCTGCTGGGGACTGGGCACCCAAGGGCTTGTCCTCAGGTAGCCGCCTCACTGCCAGACCGATTCCTCTGTGTGTTGGTCCCTGCAGGGCCAGCCCATGACTCACCCCAAGGCTGGATGCTGGGGAGGGTGTCAGCCTTGGGAACCCCCCCTCACCAGCACAGGGTTTGTATCCACAGAGCCTGCCAGATGGAGCTGTCGGCCCGGATGAGGGAGGATGAGGCCCCGGGTGGGACGGCCTTGGCCCCAGTCGTAGCCACTGCTGGTAAGAGAGTCACCTCCCCACGGAGGCTGTGCAGACAGGAGGGCAGACAGTCCAGACCAGGCTTACCCAGGTGTCACAGCAGGGATGTCCTCTCGGACACCCCCTTCACACCACTCCCTGGCTGGCTTCACCTGTGACTGGCAGAGCTGCCCTGCCCCTGCAGGTTACTAAAGAGGCAGAGAGGAGAGTGTGGGCCATGGTAGATTGCTACAGCCATCTCCTTGCAGGCAGTTTTGCTAAAGACAGGGACCAGTCAGCCACCTGGGACTCAGATTCTGTCATAGGCTCAGCTCAGTTTCCAGCACATCAGAGATAGCCTCACAGGGACAGGCCTGTAGGACACAGACCTCAGGCCCACCAGCTCTCTGCCCCACAGACTGCAAAGGCTGGCAGGCAGCCCTGCAGGCCATGAGCCTTCCCGAGCTGTCGGGGGTCCTGGAGGACTGCGTCCGGGAGATGGGTGAGTCTTAGAGGCAGCAGGGATCCTCACCCAAGGTGTACACTCTTCGCAAAGGGCTGGGCGGCGGGGGGGTCTTGCCTGACAGCTGAGATGCCCCCTACCAGCCCAACCACAGGTTTCCTAGAAAGGTTCACAGTCTCCCCTAATGCCCTGAGGGCTCCCGCCGTCCCTCCCTGCAGGGAAGTGACTGTGGTCTGGTCTCCAGGGCAGGCACTGTGCTCGGTGACACAGAGCCTGGGGAAACTGCAAGTGCTGAACGGGACACAGAACCGGCGGGAGCCGTAGCCAGGCGGGCTGGTGAGTGCAAGGAGGGTGGGCACTGCTCAGGCAGGGGCAGGCCCGTGCCACCCCCTTGGCTCCCCTTCCCACTCACGGAGGGCTTTTCTTTTCAGAATTTGACGTTGGGTGACTGATCCACCCTGAAGCTGTGTGTCAGGAGGACGTCGAGGGCAGGCAGTGGCCGTAGCCCAGGGCTCCCAGAACCAGGCTCCGCAGAGCAGTGGCAGAGGCAAGGCAGGCCGTATGGGGCCAGCACCAAGGCAGCGCAGGCTGCCCACTCAGAACTGGTGGTAAGGCCCCCCAGAGAGTGGGCGGCCCTGACCCAGGGCGTTGGAGACAGCACACAGGCCACATACCACAGGTGCCAGACTCAGGTTTGACCTCCTAAGTGTAGATGGGTCACCTGGTCAGCACACATCATTATTTGCTGGAAAATAAAAGTTAAGAGCAGAGGGTGAGAGGCTCGGCTCTGGTCACTGGTCAGGCAGCAAGCGCCCCAGGACGGCTGCTGAACCACATGGCAGCCCCTCTGGCTGCTCTTGCCACAGCCCTGGAGGGGGCACTGCCCTCGGCCTCCAGGGCGGACTGCACACCCAGGCTGCGCGGGGGCACTGCTTCCGTACCCCACGAGCCCAGGCTCCGGAAATGCTGCCGGTGGCTCCAGCCTTTCAGCAGGGCCCTCAAGCAGCAGCAGGCAGTGGCCTCTTGACCCTGCCACCATCCTTGGCCCACGCACTGGGAACAGAGAAAGGGAGGTGTTACCAGAACAATCTGAAGGCCTCCCCGTAGAAGCCAGCAAACCAGGCCGAGGGCGGGCACCGCGGCCAGCACAAGGACACATCCAGCTCGGGCCTGAGCAGACAGGAGGCCCAGCGCCCTCTGCGAGGTCCGGCCCCGCCCAGGGTCAGGCCCAGAGAGCACACAGAAAGCAGCTGTGTGGCCACTTTATTGGTCTTCCTCTCGAACAAGCCACACACAGTGGGCCCGTGGCCCCAACTGCCCTCTGGAACCAAACCCAGGCTCACACAGAACACACGCAGCCCAAGAGAAAGTCCACCCAAAAACTCTACCACCAAAATTAACAGTACAACATCCCACCCCACCTGGCTCTCAGGCCCCAGGGCTGGCACCGGGGGACACAGGGATGAGTCAGCCCGGACAGAAGCGTCCTCCACGGGAACAAACTCCACAGAAGGGCCGAGTGTGGCACCAACACACATGGGGAATCAGCCCAAGGCCTCCACCTGCCCAGGAACAGAGACCCACTGAAAGCAAGCTCCACAGGCCAGGGGAGCCTGAGCCACCCAGCCCTGCCAGCCTGAGTTCCAGTTGGCCTGCTGCCACCCAGTGGACCACCAGGACAGAAGACGACGAGCTGCCCACTGGCCCCAGGCGGTCAGCAGACACACGGACACACACACACACACACACACGCACGAAGACCCCCTTCCCCAGGGCCGAGTCAGCCCACGGGCACAGGGAGCCAGGGGAGAGGGTGAGAGCCGGGCCAGGGCCCCTCAGGAGGAAGCCGGCAGCAGCTTCTCCAGGGCCTTCTTCTGCTTCTCAGTGGCGGCAGCCAGGGCCTCGGCCAGTTTCTCCTCCGGCATCATGTGGAGCACCCTGAGGGCGAACAGCAGCTGGCACTTGGCAGTGCTGATGAAGGCGTTGCTCAGGAAGTTGGGGAAGCCCCCCATGCGGTCCTTCTGGGTGTACAGGGGGACACGCACAAGCCCCAGCACCTGCACAGAGAGGAGATGGGGTTGGACCCGGGGTCCTCCCCATCCCGTGGACGCCCCTGGCAAGCTGCTGGGCCAAGGACAAGGGATCACCCCCCCCCCCATTTCAAGGCCAACACAACCCGGGACCCCCACACTCTTCCATCTTCCAGCCCTCTCCAGAGCCTGACCACCCCCTAGCCCACAACCCATGCTGCCCCCTTTCCATCCGATGAACCCCAAACACGCCAGGTGCCACACCCAGCCCTTCAGGTTCAGAAACCCCCACAAACACCCAAGGTCCGCCCCAGCCTCTTCCCCTCCCAGTCCATGAGCACACCCCCCATCCCACGCCCCTCTCCCAGGATTGGCAATGGCAGGCAGCGAGGCAGATACTGTAACACAGCCCTGAGGGCGCCCCAGCCCCTCCGTCCCGGCCCCAAGCCCCTTGCCCAGCCCAATGCTGAGACAGCGACACCCCACCCGGCCCGGCCAGGGGACGCTCGGGACGTGTTACCCATCGGTGCCTTCCGCGGGGCCAGAGCCAACCCGGGGCGGGGCGGGGCCCGGCGGCGGCCCCACCTCCAGGCCGTGGTCGCGCGAGTGCACCGCGCTGATCTCCACGGCGTGCAGCTGTTCCAGCGTCAGCTGCCGGGCGTACAGGTGCGCCACGACGCGCTGCGGGCCCTCGGTCAGGTGCGAGCTTAGGTAGTCGGCCTCGGTGAGGCGCAGGCAGCCCAGGCCCAGGCCCAGCACCCGGTTCAGCCCGTCCTCCAGCGACCAGAAGCGCCGGTCCACGAAGCCGCCGGGGAAGCCCAGCAGCCCGTCGAAGCGCATCTGCATCTGCAACGGGAGCCAGTCACGGGCCGGCGTCGGGCCGCGGAGGGCCCGACCCCGGCCCGTCCGCCGCCGTTCTCACCAGCACCGAGAAGCGCATGGGAATGCGGCCGAAGAGCTGCCCGGGATTGGCGGCGTAAAGCATGGCGTGGCATGAGTGACTCCAACCCGGCCCTAGGCGCATCGCCTCCACCCGGCTGATCTGCTTCAGCTCGGGCAGCGCTGCCGCCGACATCTTGGCACTGCCCCCGCCCCCCGCCTCGCGCCGGCCCCTTAAGCGCATGCGCGGGCCCGCCCCCGCTGCGTCCCACCAATCTCCGCCCGCTGCTCAGCAGGGCCCACCCCTCGCCGACGTGCGCCGAGGCTGAGCCAATCAGGATCGGGTAGTGTGCAAGGGGATGGGCAGCACACGCCCTCACCCTCGCCCAATAAGTGCAGTCCGAAGGGTGTGCGGTCCGAGCAGTGCCCCGCCCGCGGGCCTCGAAACCACAACTCCCAGGATGCACTGCCTGAACCTGGGCGGCCTGATGAGGGTCCCATTCTTGGGCATCCCGGCCCGCAAGGCCAGAGCCCACACCCGAGATGGTGGCTCCCGCTTTGTAGAGTCCGCCCCAGTGGCACCCGTGGACCTGGAGCTCGATCGGGCTCCGCAACCTCATCCACACAGCTGGCCCACCGCAGAGGCGCCCTGCGTGCAGTCCCTGCACACCAGCCAGCACCCCACCCGAAGCCCTCCCACCTGCCGGGTCTGGTCTCCTGCCCCAAAGCCTCCAGAATACGGCTGGCTGAGATCGACACCAGAGGGGACCACCTGCCAGGCCGCACACACGCACAAAAGCCCTACTGTCCTGGTGCGACTACCTGCCGAGCATTGGTCCAAAAACCCAGAGGCTGTGTGACTCCGGGAGAGAAAGGAAAGCGAGCACAACTCAATACCCAGCGTCACCATGGCCACGCTCAGTCCTGCCAGCTGGGGTCAGGGTGTCAGGAACGCAGGGCCAACCAAGCCAGCAGGGCAGAAAGCGACCCAAGTCCCACCCCGAGTTGCTTCCAAATCCGGCCTGGTACTGTGGGAGGAAGTGGGGTCTGCCTTCCAGCCAAGCCGCCTGAGGCTGGGAGAGGGGCAGGATGTGTCAAGGGTAGCCCTCAGCAGTTAGACACAGCCAGGCTTCCACCCTCCCTCCCAGCCCATCAGGTGTCTAGCATCAAACCTCCATGGGGAGGCCTGGGCACTCACCCCACGTTCCCTGCAGTAGTAGGTCCCAGCTCCCAGGGGTGCTGGGGAGGAACTCTGCAGAACGGGGTCCCCAAACACCCGGAGGGCGCAGCTCCCCTCACGGCAGGCTGAGCTCCGTGGGTATGAACTTGCTGGGCTGCGAGGCAAAGGAACATCCATCCGCCTGCACTCATAGTGGGGGTGGTCAGGCCAGGGCCACCAGGCAGTGAGCAGGCCGAGGCAGCAGGCCAAGAGAGCAGGGCAGTGGCTGGACAGTCTGTGGGAACTTGCTCCGTGGTGGTGCTAGTTTGCCAAATACCAGAGGCACCCTGCCTGTTCTCTGCTGTGGTGGCCTGCAGGGGGCAGGGAGAGACCAGAGTCCAGGGCTAACAAAACTTGGGTCTGAAGGGGTGAAGCTGGCAAGGGGAAGGGTCCTTCCCCACCCTCCAGAGAAGGCCCGCCTCCAGACAGCGGAACACAAAACCTTGTCGGATAGGGTCACAGGCCAAGGCTTTCTTTGCCCCAGCCCACTAGATGCGACATGACTGAGGGGCGGGGCCTGTGTGGAGAGGATGCAGCTCAGCTGAGAAGCCCTCCGACACCAGAGGACTCATGATGCTGGCCCCCAGCCAGACCAAGACCCGACCTGAGGACTCATGATGCTGGCCCCCAGCCAGACCAAGACC